TATATATAATATAATAATATGTATATATATATATATATATATGTATAGATATATATAGCGCGCGTATACACACGAAGACAAACACACACACACACACACACACACACACATATATATATATATATGCATGTATATATTTATTTGCGAAGGTAAAGTCTACCATCAGCTAAATATCAATTTGTATTACAGCAAAAAAGCAATGTCTTTAGTTAATCTACACGGCATCCCTCACCCCCCCCCCAATAAAAAAAGACAGAAAATCAAAAAAAAATCAAAGGGATTACCTGCTTAATCTGTCTGGATGAACACTTCGAAGAAACTGCTTGAAGGCGTAGTCGAAGTCCATATTCACAGGCTTAACCTTGCCTTTCGGAGCGAGGCAATGTTGACCTGCGTGAAAACTCCGTATTTGAACCTGTGCCCGGGCTTGTTTAGTTCCATTATTTTCTGTCAATTGTGTGTGTTTACAACTATTTTGTGAACAAACCACACAGTACCCAAGGCTTGTATTGTGTATTTTTCGTACGCCACTGTGAGCTTGAAGTGGGCACGAGGAAAGTGCTGCTATGTGCCGAGACAGCGAGCTATGGCGCAGTATACGACCACTTGCAATACTTAAAAACATTTTTGGTATCGATGACACAAGCAGTTCAATACGGATATTATTTAAAATAGGTTGCAATAAATATACTCTCAAGCGACAGCAATACACTTTAAATATTTTATTAGATGAGCCAGATTGTTGCATGGTTGCGGTCACACTGGTCTGTGGACTGTGAGGACCAGGACTGATCACTGCTGAGCAATATTTACATAATGATGGCAGCCCCGTGTGAGTGTGAAAGTTCGGTATTATATTTAGCAAACTTGACGATAATAAAAACATACTATATAAAAACCGTTTTGTTTTTCAGACAGAAGAGGCACAAACAACTAAAACAAGTAACAACATAATATGCATCAGCGTACGATCAGAAAAATAAATACATAGCAGGATATCTATCTCTGTTTTATTGATTTACGACAAGCTAAACTATGGCACAGTCTCCCCGGTCTGAGAGACCCAAGCACTCCGATGAGTCAACGAATGAACAGACAACCAGTGTCACCAATGCATTGCATAACACGCGCATCTCCGAACCTGCCCAGCCCGTTCGAGAGCTGTCGCAAACAGATCATTTAAACAAGAAGCTTTTGTCCTCGCTGTTAACAATGAATTTTCCCTCGAATACGATAAGCGGAGACGATGATATGGAGGAAGACTGTGGAGATAAGCAATAGGGAAGGAATGGATTGTCGCTGATAAGACATTTACGTACAGCATCAGGATGTTCTCAACTTAGTATACGTATATACAGAACGGTAAACTCAACTGATGAGTGTCAAGAGTTGTTTCGGGGTTTCTTCGTTATTACCCATGTTGTGCTTTCAAATATGATAAGAGGTTGCAACAATATGGAAGATGATTGTGGAGACAAACCTTGAGGAATAAGTGGCTTTCGCATCTGAAATTGAATCGGCATATGAGTATCTGTATAATCACAAAACTAGTATACACACTCGACGATAAAATCGGATGTCTGAGACGAAATTGTCGATAAGGAGGAAGAAAGTGGAGATAAACAATGAGAAATAAGTTGGTTGCTTCTTGAATAGGAATCCAAATAGGTAGCATCTAAATAGTAGATCTGCGCAAAGACGAGCATGCAAATTGACCTACACTTAATAACTATA